TTCTACTAAACAAAGACCCACTGAAGAGGATACAGTTATCTCCAAATCACAAATATCTGAGCCTTAGATAACTTAAGTAACTTAGATAATTAAAGTAACTGACAAGAAATCCCAAAAAGCCTGAGTTGGCTCTAGAGTATGGTCCAATCTAGTCTGTGGCCATAAGGCCTAGATTGTAACTGTCATACACTTTTATAATAGAACAAAGGTTCTATATTCATACTGCTTTTATTTACTCCAGGAATTATGGTCCCTTGAGTAATTATGTATACTTAAAACTCATGCATTTGAGATGGGATGGAGTTTTGCCAGAACTTTGTTGGGTGAACTATAATCTACTTCAGAAATCATTGATAAGCTAATGATAGAATTTCTCGTCTAGTTTTCCCATAAAAACTTTTCACAGGTAGTGCTTTATTTATTAGATTTAATAGTGAGTTAAATATAAATTGGCATATTTGTAAATTAGCCAGAACTTCCTTTCATTACTCTAAACAAGGGATATCTTCTTGCATCTTCTAAAGCATTCCATTTAACTTAAATATTTGCTGTCTTACAATGTCTACTTATGTGTATTTATTTACATGTCATTATGCATGCTCTTAGGGAAAGGTGGCTACTTGGTACTATACATGTTTCTTTTGTATGTTACAGCTGACTAAATAATACCATATGTTTATTTGCCATATGAAAATTCACAGTCATTATTGCTATATATTCCCCCAATCCTCTGAGTTAGGCAAACATTGTGTTTTTTAGCATTTCATCACACTTGAATAGAGACATGAGCCATGTTATTTTTCCCTCTTGCAGAAGGGTAAATCTAGACCTAAATTTCACACCACAGCAATGCACTACAGTGCATTTGTATTTTGGATGTGTTGGTTGAATATTTGGTGTTTTGTGTGTGTGTGTTTTTTTAAATCTTCTGTTATCTTTGTGTGGTTTCACATTTTAAATGGTAGATGGGGTAAATGTGTTGAAAGTCAGCATATAAACCATTTCACCCATCATGAAGGTTTTCATAAGGCATAAACTTGCATCCTGGATATTTTCCAGCAGTGAAGGAATGTAGATCACTAGGCAAGGACACACATCAGTGGTTAATGTCTCAGCAACCACAACTCACACTAGGGGGCTTTTAGGCAAATCAGAGGATTTCTTAAGACCCATCAGTGAGCTAAGGCAAGAAAAAGTTGAATTAAGTCTCAGCGCTTGGCGGGAATGTGAGTGCAACCAACTTGGCTCCTTCTGGGTCTGACTTTTTCCTCCATTCCACTATGCATAAGGAGGCTAATTTTTTATTCTCCCTTCTCCCCGTGTGGTTTCTTCTGCATTGAGAGGTTCTATTGATCATGATTTTAGAATCACAATCCCTACTGTTCTCATTACTCTTTCTTTCTTCTATGTAGGAAATAAATAAATAAATAAATATCAAGATACCAGATCAGGGACACTTAAGAGCTGACATTTTAGGGTGAGAATTCGAGACAGATAGCATTCTTAAGAGGCACATCTGTTGATAGCAGCTCCTCCACAATCTCTAGTTGGTATTGTTTCCTAATAAATTACTGGGAAATAATTTGTTAGATCAGTTAAGTTAAAAATAAACAGGAAATTGAGAGCTACTCAGATGTATTATAGCATGACTTGAGCCCAAACTATGGCATCCCTTTATTGGCTAAGTCCTGATCCTACACATTCCTCCCTTGGTCCTCATGTACCATGGCATCTACAAAGCCTCAGAGCATCATAGCGAACTCCAGAGTTATTACTGGGAAGATAATCATAAAAGAATTCATGAAAAAGTTTACATTTACTCTCTAGCAATAAGAGGTGAACTTAGGGCCTGGGTACTATCCCTGAGATTTTGTGCTCAAGATTAGCCCTCTACCCCTTGAGACACAGCACTTTACTTCTGGCTTTTTTTGTAGTTAATTGGAGATTAGAGTCTCACAGCCTTTCCTATCTGGACTGGCTTTGATCCATGAGACTCAGATCTCAGCCTCCTGAGAAAGGTAGGAGGTGTGAGCCACTGGCGCCCAGGTTGTTACAAGACTTTGTGGAAAGCAAATGGTCTGGTCTCTGCTGATCCAGCTTCTACATCTTCAAGTTACCATTTTATGCAGATTTTTTTATTTTCATAAAAGTTGGTATAAGATTAGTTTGCTACTACCAAAAAGAAAACTTCCCCTAACCACCTTTTTTAAACCCTCAAGGGTTGAGAGTTTAAAATTGAGTTGTCACATGGTGTATATACTTCCTGTATTCTCCTATTGTGAATTTTTCCCCATATAAGAGGTGAAAAATAGCACTGTGACATTCAGCTACTCTGTGTGTGTGTGTGTGTGTGTGTGTGTGTGAGAGAGAGAGAGAGAGAGAGAGAGAGAGAGAGAGACGGTACTAGGGCTTGAACTCTTGGCCTTGGCACTGTCCCTTAGCTTTGGTTCTTGCACCACAGCTCCACTTCCAGCTTTTTGGTGAATGATTACAAATAAGATTCTCACAGACTTTCTTGCCAGAGTTGACTTCAAACTGCAATCCTCAAATCTCAGCATCCTGAGTAGCTAGGATTAGGCGTGAGCCACTAGTGCCCAGCTCCTGATACTTTTAAAGTCTTCTATTTTAGGACAATGAAACCAGCACTGACAATGCACATGCCCAAGTTTTAGTGTAACATGAGCCCTTTCGATCAATTTCTCTTTGGCCTTTTGCTTTTCCTTGGGAAATTCTTATAATCCTGTCCTATCTTTAACTATTTATCTTGTATTGGCTATCCAAATATACTCAATAATGCTCTCTCTGAAAATATGCCAGTTGCACTAATTACAGCTAAGCTGGAATATTATATCGTAATGTCTGTTTCCTAGAGAATGTAATACTATTCCCCAAAGCACCTTCTCTGTACTTGGGCAGATTCTATTTTAAAGATTCCAGTAAAGGTTCTTTTATACATTGGGGGTGATTTTACTGGTCTTGCCAGTCACCTAAAATGTTGGTGTCATTTTTATAAGATTATTATTCAGACCAATAGAGAAATGGTACATGAGTTTTCCTCACATTTTCTAGACATTTTTACAACTGATTTGTCATTTATATGCTCTCTCAGAAGTCAGGGGTCATCCACAGGGGTTGATCATCTTGCCTGTTGTGCTGAGCTGCCAGCTGCCAGCTTGTGAGGCACCTACAATTACATCTTTCATTGCCCTGGAACTTTATTAGAATCTTGGTATTAACTCTTCTTCATGTGTCAATCCTGGCTTGGTTTCCATGGTTTAAGTCCTCACCAGCTATGTCTCACATGTGGTTTGTATCTCCTAACTTAACTTTTAAGTTAACTCCAGAAGAACAGAAGTTGTAGGACTTTCAGCTTCAATGGGAAGGAACCGTCTTATATTTTCCCAACATTGGATTCCTCAGAGTAGAACAGGAGTCCTCATTCCTACGCTTACCAGCAAAATTAATTCTAACCCATTCAAAATAAAGATGGTACTTTTTAAAACCTAATTTTATTTGGCAAATACTACTTGGTGAAGCATAGCAACCTTTGTATTTGTATGGATTGTAGTTTATTCCTATTTCCAAGGGAACTCATGGTGACAGACCTTTGCATGCAGGAATAGGATTTTTTCTGCAGTGGACACAGGACCCTTTTCAACCTTCCCCAAGCAGCTGCTCCTTCTTCAGTTAAGTCAATTATACAACTGGAAAAAGAGCTTCTGGATCTTGGAAAGATAAAAAAAAGACCCAGCCTGTGTAGCTCCGAGTAAGAGATCCTATCAGAGTCCTCAAACAAAACCCAGCACAAGCAAATTTGTGGGGAATAAGTGGGAAATGCCATACCGGAGAAATTTTGTTAGAATGTGGGAAGAGATTTTTTTTTAACATAGGTGTCTTTAGACCTGGCCACTGAATTTCTGGAGAAGATATTTTATGATAATGATCATTAAAGATATGCACAGATTGGCTAGAAGAATATTCAGTGGATGACAAACAGTAGTTTGGTCATGAAGAAAAAAATGATGGAAGACAATATATAAGTTGACAAGTAGAATTCAAATAAATCATCATGTATATATTATAAATGAAACTATGGAAGAATGGGCCCTGGCGGAGAAATAATGTCAATGAGAATGTCTAAATGCTAACTTATTTTGCCAGATGCCAGTGGCTCACCCCTGTAATCCAAGGTGCTCAGGAGGCTTAGACCTAAAAGATATGGTTTAAAGCCATCCCAGGCAGAAAAGTCATTCTTATAGACTCCATCTCCATCTCCATGTAATCAGGAAAATGCTATACTGGAGATATGGCTCAAGTAGTAGCACACCAGCCATGAGTTAAAAAAAAAAAAGCCCAGATAGAGTACAAGGCCAAGCTAAATGATGGTACCAAGCATAGCTTATTTTGAAAAATAATATGCTACTACATAATATGTAGATACATATAAAATATATATGTGTGCATGTATCATATTGTAATTTTAATAGTAGGATTGTGTGGGATCACAGTTACTTGCTTTTGCTTTTCTTTCACACATTCTTATCTCTCGTGTTTGTTTACTTGGGTAGGGCAATGATGTTCAGGGATTTTTTGTTTTTGTTTTTTTGTGCTAGTCCTGGGGCTTGAACTCTAGGCACTGTCCCTGAGATTATTTTTTCTCAAGGCTGGCATGTTGCTGCTTGAGCCACAGCTCCACTTCTGGCATTTTTTTGGTGGTTAATAGAGATAAGATTCTCACAGACTTTCCTGCCTGGGCTGGCTTGGAACCACAGTCCTCAGATCTCAGCCTTCTGAATAGCTAGCATCACAGGCTTGAGCCACTGATGCCTGAGCAGTGATGTTGCAAGAAAAAATATGTGTTGGTCCCAACCTGGAAACATCAGCTCAGTCTACTTGCACCTTCTCCTGCAGCCTTCTCTAGCTGCCCAGGTGAGGCCTGGACACATGGGCTTCTAGGGCCAATGCCTAATAGAACCTCACACCCCTGTTTTTCTCTGCAGGAAAGGAAAGCCCCCCAGTCAGTGATACTCCAGATGATGGTGATGAACCCATGCCTGTCCCCGAAGATCTTTCCACCACTTCTGGAGGACAGCAGAATTCCAAGAGTGACCGTGGCATGGGTAAGTGGGCTTGTCCTGGCAGCCTTCAGGATGGCACATGCTCTGTTCTTACAAAATTGCTATCGCCTAGTATCCTTCAAAAGCAGTGATCAGGGGTCATGAGACATTTTACCCACTGTTTCTTTCAGCGGTCAAGTTGAGGAAATACAATGTGGACATAGGCAGATTAAGGTCCTCTTGCATGTTAGAAGAGAAACAGTCATAGGTCAGAGAGTGGTAGAGTTGAGGATCGCTCTGCTATAGGGTGTGTGCCTCCATTACTCCCTCTTTCCTCAGTGCATTTGAATGAATATCAAATCTTATGGGCATTCTTTGTGCTGTAACAAGGTGACTTTTCTTTAGAGCTAAGGGTTAGTTAGGAGGAGCCTCCCTGGCTGAATATGTTATCCCTAGACTCTCTACTTGTTAAAGGTCAGATGTAAGTAGAAATAGAAGATTGAGTAGCCCATACTCCTTTGGTACCTGCTACAACCTTGTTCAAATAATTCGACTGTATGGAAAATTAGTAAATGTTTGGCAAATATTAAACAATTTGAATTCAAAATATTTCAGAGAAATGTAGGTTATCCAAATTAGCAAACATTCATATTCCTTTTCAAAAAGGGATTGGACTGGAACAATGCCAAATCACTCCACTGGTAATTTACACATATTACCATTCATGTTTGGAAAACTGTTTTTCCCATTTTACTGGAAGAAGAGAGAAGCTCAGAGGAACTCATTGAGTTAACCAACATCAAATTATGGAGTCAGAGTTAAACTCAGTTTCTGGCTTAAAAGACTAGTTTTTCGTTCCACTGTGGCATGTTCTCATAAGCTAATGAGTCCTTGACTCCTTGGAATGTCTACTTGTTTAAAAGAGAGAAGATAAAGGTGTGGTATTGAGAGCACTCATTTACGTCAAAGAGCATCTGAAAGGATGCCAAGGTACAAAGAGGTACACTATTTGGATGGATCAGCCACATAAGCCCTACAACTTGTCTTTCTAAAAGATATCCTGCCAGGGACAGGTGTCTGACGCCTGTAATCCTAGCTAGTCAGGAGGCTGAGATCTGAGGGCCACGGTTCAAAGCCAGACCAGGCAGGAAAGTCCATGAGAGTCTTATCTCCAAAAAACCACTAGAAAGCCAGAAGTAGTGCTGTGGCTCAAGTGGTAGAGCGCTCGCCTTGAGCTGAAGAGCTCAAGGACAGCAACCCAGGCCCAGAGTTCAAGCCCCACGACCAACAAAAATAAATAAATAAATAATAATAAAAAATAAAGGATATCCTGATGCTATCACTAGGAAACACATTGTGCACGGTACCACGTGTCTTAGAAATGAAATTAATATTGGGCATAATAGTTCTTTATAAGTTTTAACTTAGCAATGCAATTAATGGCACAAAAATAGGACTAAAGCCATTTGGTATAAGGAACCCAGAGAACCAGAATATTTGTGAGCTTATTAGTTTTTATTAGGCAATAGCAAGGCTTGTGGAAAGGAAGTGAGAGGAAGAAAATTAACCTTTGTGGGTCATCCCCTCTCTAAGGTCACAGACATAATTTCAGGATTTCTCAAAAATTGGGGTGCAGATGAACATGCTTCATTTTAGTTTGCTTATTTTAAAGATTATCTTCTGAATATGGCAAGTGATTCTGCTCTTTCTGTATGCTGTATTATTTAACACACATTCCTAGTAAATACACATAGTTATAAATTAAAAGGTCAACTTAACTAACAACATCAAGCTAATAATGAATAAATGGTTAAAAAAAAAAGAAAGAAAGAAAAACTTGCAGAGGTGGAAGACATGTGAAGAGCTAATGTTGGGAAAGTGCCCCTGGGTTATCTCATTAGTTTAATCCCTGAAGCACTTAACTGTAATGAGTATTGATTCCTCACTTAACAGGGACACAAAGAGCTGCTACAAACAAGTCTGAGATGTTCATAGCATGCAATGGGCTTGAGGGCCAAGAGCCAAAAGAAGTTATCCATGGACCCCATAATGTCCTGAGAGCCCAGAATTAGAGTTAGGATGCTGGCTTGGTTTCTGTACGGAAAGTAGAGGGCTTGCAATGAAATCCTTACAGCAACTAGGGGAGCCTCTGTGGAGTCCGCATGGCGTGGGCATCCTTTAGGGAACTGAAAGTCAGACTGATTCCTAGAGAGTAGAGAGGAATATGAAGTGCACTTGGTATAGATAAGAGGTCATGGTCATGAGTATCAGAAAAATATCCTACATACCTCATCCTTTTCACCTTCCAATGAGTGACAGCCCTGCCGAGGTTCAGCCTTGGTTGGCATTGGTGGCCGTTTCCCTGGACTGTCTAGCCTTCATCCAGTGCTGAGCTCCCAGTTCATGCTATACCCAGCGTGGTGTTCCCTTGAAATTGGAGTGGGTTTGTCACTTCCTGGAGGTTCCTCTCCTTGTTTCTTGCCACCTGAGACATGATGTTAAGTCTACTTTTCCCTTCAAGATGAAATTTAAAAAAACAGGAACTGCAGAACTTTAATGACTCTGGGAAATGCCTGGTGTGTTTGGTTTGCTGGGGACAGGCAGAGAAAACTGTTTGAAATGGGCCCCCCAAACACTGGGACAAGAAGATCCTATAGGCAGCTGGCGGTCAAAGGAGCCATTGCCCATAGCCGGTAAAGCACATCAGGCACAGGCAGAAAAGGGGTAGAACAGAAAGCCAGGAGGAAAGAAGACCCCAGAGCACTCACTAGAGAAAAACATCTAAAAGCCACTCCTTATGGTGACCATGGCTAGAGACAATGCCGTATCGATCCTAATGAAAATCCACTTGCTTTAGCAAGGAGCGATAGGTTATCTGGTAAGATCATTTACAATGGGTAGCAGTCAACCAATGGACTGTGTACATAACCTAAAGGTACAATATTACAAAATAAATTTGGGGCTATATTTTATCAACTCATTCCATGGAAGTGGGTCAAAAGTACAAAGAATGTAGAAAGATAGCAACCGGAAAAGGAAAAGAAACTCCTCCCTTGGAAGGGAGGAACACATTGAAAATCACTTCTAGCCATTTTCTTCCTTGAGTCTCAGTTTCCTCATTTCAAGAGATCCGGAACAATTAAACACATTTCCCTGGGTGAATTTGCACATGAGGAAAAAAACAACATAGACCCACTTTGCTGAAGACATGAAATAAAAAAGGACAAAAAATGGGTTTTGATGCCAGGTGCTGGTGGCTCATCCTTCCTACTCAGGAAGCTGAGGTCTAAGGATCACAGATCAAAGACAACCTGAGCAAGAAAGCCCATGAGACTCTTATTTCCAGTTACCTAGCAAAATGCCAGAAGTGGAGCCATGGCTCAAGTGGTAGAGTACCATTCTTGAGTGGAAAAAGCTAAGAGACAGCAATCAGGTCCTGAGTTCATGCCCCAGTACTGGCAAAAGTAAAATTTTTTAAAAGGGTCAAAAGAGCTGACACTAGGAGCTGGTGGCAATGTCTATAATCCTAGTTGTTTAGATGGCAGAGATCTGAGGATCTCTGATTGAAGCCAGCCTAGGCAAATAAATCTTCGAAACTCTTTTCTGCAATGAACCAACAAAAAGCTGCAAGTGAAGGTGTGGCTCAACTGGTAGAGCACCAAGTCTTGGCACTAGTCCCAGTATTCTCAAATGAAGAAGAATAAGAAAGAGGCAGGGGAGAAGGAGGAGGAGGAAGAAGGAGGAGGAAAAGGAAGAAGGAGGCGGAGGAGGAGGCTGAAAAATAATACAACTTGTACAATACAGAAACCTTACAGATTTATGTGAGATTTATACAGGAGTCTTTTGTAGCTAAATTGAGAAGATAGAGGGATTGGGTAACATTGTAACATCACCAAGCATAGAAGATAAATTCATAAATTATTATAACAATTTATTCATAAAGTAAGCAAATTGAATGCAATCACAAAATGGAGGCATCAATTGGAGTAGGGAAAGATGAAAAGAGATTTAGGGTACTGGGTGTTCCAGATCAAGTTTAGACCAAAGGTGCTTGCTGTCCCTGTGGATAATTCAGAGAAAACTGAGGAGAAAAGGAAAAATGGGGAGAAATATAACAGTGAGGAAAGATTTGATCATAATGATGAGAGAAGTTTTGATCATAAAAGATAGTAGAGGGTCCGCCTTAGAAAAGACAGGGAAGGGATGATTTGGAAATATTGTAATTACTGCTAGAGGTGTCACTGAGTTCTACAAGAATCTAAATAAAACTAGACCATGGTAATAAATTAACTGGGGAGAAATGATTGAATTTGGCCTTCAATGATGAGTGGTAGCTAACATGGGTCGGTGTGTCATTCCCAGAATAAGAAAAGTAAGAATCATATCAATTGGTGGACTAGATCTCTGCATAAATGTAGAGAACTATAGGACACAGCAGAGCAAGACAAGAGGTCTTGTTTACCTCTACTTTTCTTCCAGGTCTTTGTAAGAAGAAACAAAGCATTTTAAATACAGCCTGAAGAATTTGTTAGATGAAGAGGGGAACTTTCTGGCAAGGAGAAATTTAATCATCAGAATGGATCTACTTAATGAGACCGTAGCTCTACTTAGCTCATTCTTCTTAAGTGATCCCTTTAAAGCTCTGAGACACTGTAACTCTCTTTAAAAGCTGAGAACTCTCAGCTCTCTGATGTGGTTGTGTCTGAACTATCTTGAAGCTAAGGAAGCACTCAGTGATCTCTTAAGGCAGCCCCAAGTTTACTCAGGTACCAGGACACACATGCAGAAAAGTGAAAAGTAGGCTGACATTGTGAAAACTTGACCAGGATCTCTTAAATCTTCCCTTGAAGATTTAAGTCAGGATTTGAGTCTAGAGAGCAGGTGAGATTGATGTCTTTGAAAACAAAAACCTTGTGATTTTCTGCCTTTATTTATTAATACTTCCTTACAAGTGTTGTCCTTCTCCGAGTGGCAAGTTCTGCCTCTCATTACTTGCTCTTTCTAATCCACTCTTCCATGTTTCCATGTCCAGTCTATAAAGTTCTACTGACAGGCACACAGGA